TTCCTGTACCTTGTTCTTTGGTTTGTGACAGTCTTATAAGAAATTGCCTACTGTTTGTATCGGTCAGGGAAAGTTTCCATTGTCTGCAACTAAGAAATCCTACTAGCACAAACATCCCCCAAATCTGTTATACCTGTATTTTCCATTAAAATAACTTTTTCTTATTGCAAAGATTATTTATCAACTGGAAAACTTAGAAAATATAGACAAAAACAAAAAACAGTGTAACCTCATCACCCACAGAGAACCTTTGTAAAAAAATTTTTTAACATTTTCTGGTGCATACTCTCCTAGACTCTTTTCCTGGGTATATGAATATATTCTTTGTTTCTTTCTTTAGCTATTATAAAAAGTGCTACCACATTGTGATCAACGTGCTTGCTATTTACCTGCTATTCTGCCTCATCTATAGCTTTGCTTCTGCTCATGAACGTGAATATAGACATAATGAGTTGGTCCAGACTAGTGAAAAGTATTTGTCACCCTTACTCAAGTTGCCTTTAAATAAACATACGTATAAGTGATATAATTCTCTTATACAATAAGGCATACAAAATTATTTCAGAGGACAGTGTTCCTTTGCTGGCTAAGAGTCGTCATGACTCAATTGGTCAAGTGCATTGGGTGTAATTTTTATATTCAAGTTGCTAGAATTCAGAATTTTCAGAGGAAGTTCAGGTTATAGGTATACTCTCCTGAGGACCTAATATTTCCACTAGAAATAATTTTTAAATTACTAATTTCTCAGAATGCATTAAATTCATCTCTAAGAAGAATTACATATAAGTATTTATATGTACAAATAATAACTGCCATTACAAAGTAGGTAATCTGAGAGGACAGTTTTACCAGGCATGCTTAAACTTATAAACACTAGTTGCAGATAGTAAATATATTAAAAGCTCTTAGAAAATCTGTTCTCTACCTCTTCCATCTTAATAGACTTTAGTACTTTTTTCTTCATAGAGGTAAACTTCAACCCCAGATAGATTAAAATGAATTCGTAGATTCTAAATTAATTGTATTTCTATTTTTTCAACCTAGGTTGTCCTCAGTCATTCTATGGCTCCTTATCCCATTATTTGTCTTTAAGGCATCTATTTTTTTTCCCTTTATAGCCATAATTACTACTAAAAATAAGAGATTATAGCTATGGTTTTCTTCCTGGTGAGTGGTATACAAACTTTCCTCTAATTGCTACCCCCAAATTACCCTTAATAAATATATTTAAGAAACAGACTCACAATATTTCTAGTGAGTTTCTAACAAGTGTGTAGATGATAGGTATTTTTCTATCTATAAGCTATCTTTAAGCTGCTTTTATGATTTTTACTATTAATTTTTAAAATCACATATGACAATTTTCATTATATATTTCATAATGACAGTGCTTTTTCTCCATGACCAATGCATTGATAATGTAACTATTCAATAATTTGAAAGATAAAATCATCCAATGCTTTATTAAGCAAAAGAATTAAGAATGGTTAACTTTTTAAATCCTGGACCTCAACATGCCTTTGCTATTCAAATCAAAACGCAGTAGTCTTCACGTTCATTACCATGAACTTCAAAAGAACAATCTACATTTTTAAAAAACAAGAGGAAAAAAAGAATAATCTACATTTCTAAAAGCTATTTATATAGAAAGACAAAAGAGAACATAATTAAGCTGGAGTCTTTCCATATCATTGTCTTTTGGGGCCCAGGCAGCAGAACCATGATGTAGGTGAAAAAGTACCATGGCCAGGTTCCAGTGTATGTGATTCAAGCTGAAGAACAAAAAGTTGAACTTGTGAATACATTAACTTGACTCATAAAAGGATGCTAACCAGAGGGTCTCCATCTTTAGAGACCAAACAAGGGCAAATGAGTTAAAACGGCAGCAACATCAATGTGGGTTATTTATAAAACAGTGTTTTCCAAAATGTATCAAGAGGCTAAGGACACCCATTGCTCATACCTCTTAAAGAATAAGATGGGCTGCTCATTTGTTTGGAATGGTTCTTGAAGGAAAATATTATGTAAGCCAGGAAGATCTCTCTCCTTACTTGAAGGCCATTTCTCCCTAGGGGCTCAAACCTTTGAACTGCATCTCATTTATTCTTCTCAGTGTGAATCAAATCCAGTTCTGCAAGTTACAGACTCGACATCTTTCATAACCTAACTCCCATTGTAGAATCTCTCAGGAGTTAGGAACTCATCCTCTTCCCACTCCACCTCAAAATTCAGCCCATATTCCTTGATATGGGGCTTCTTTTCTTACTATATGTCTGATATTCAGAGCCATTCAAGGGCATTTATTTCCTATAATATGCAATGAAGTGCAATTTAAGAAACAACTCTGTAAAATAGGGACTGTAAGGGCAGTGTTTGTTGTTGTTGTTTGTTTGGATGTTTGGTTAAGTAGCCTGGGGCAAATGGCTCAGCTTTGGCTGAGCTATATTCCTATTTCCTTTTGATAATAACAAAAATCAAAATCACTACAATTTTCTGAGAAATAAACTACAAAGAAATCTATCTGTGAAAGTGAGAGAAAAATCTCTCCTTTCAAAGTATTTTGGAAAGATGGGAAACTAAGTATTCAATTGGCTAAATACACTTTTTGAATATTTCAGCTTCTGTAATGATTGACATCCAGTGAAGCCTTTCGATTTTCTAAAACCAGTACAAAAGCTGTTATCTAAAAACAACCGTTAAGTTTAACATTTTGAGTAGTAATCAAGTCATGACTTTTTCCATTCTAATTTGTTCTTGTACATTTTTTAACGGGGGGTTTGGGCTTCCAAGTCATCCTCTCCAGTCTTCGTACGATAAAATGAGCTATTTGCTTTCCTTTAGCAGAGTTGGATGGGGGCTATCTCTGCATTTGATTGGTTGGCTTTTAAAGGATTACTTCTCTGGAAAGGTACCGTGTCATATCACATTGCTAGCGGCGTGGACTTAGTTGTGGTTAAAATTTTAAATTGAAGATGAGCATTTACCACCAGAGAGAACATAAACTTCAGGACTCCTGTGCTATATAGATTCTAGACATCATATTGGCTAAATGTGATTGATGAAGAGCTCTGTTTTGAAACAACCTTAAACACCATATCCAGAAATAACAGCTGACTCTGGTAAAGAGAGGAAATTTGGGGTCCCTGTATGTTTTATAACGAAGCCAATTTTAAAAAGAATAAATTCCAGCTCCACAAATTGACCTCAATAAGATTAACAAAACTGAGGAAGACTGATGTCAGCTAAGGCAACAAGTCAAATAAATTACCCCATACTATTTATACGCAGATGAAATAAAACAATGGCTTTCCATTTTTATTTTGCATTTCACAGCTACTCAAAGAGTATACATGATCATTTTTCCAATTCCACTTAATATTTTGTCTGAAAGAAAAATTTACTGAGTAAAATGCTTAGTTGCAGGATTTCACATTTGCAATCCATCGGGTTACAATATTAAAGTTACTACAGTTTCTTCCCCAGTGTAAGCATTCTATATGTGCCTTTTATTTACATTGTCACTTTTTATTTCCTCCTGAACTTTGTATGCTCAAGAATGAAACTGTATTGGTGTTATGTAACAATATTTCAAACTTGCAACATACATATTGGTTTATCTCTCCCTTGAACCCATGTCCCTGAAAAATAAACACAATGTATGCAAAAGAACTACCTTGGAGTGCATGAGGAAGAGTGTAGACGTGTAGAAATAAAAGAATCGAAAACCAGTTGTGTGGAGATGTATCTGTCCTGTTGACAACAATCCCCGTGATTTGTTAACAGACATAGGCAGCCAACGCAGTACACAACACTGTCCTAGAACTGGCCATAAGTTGTTAACCAAGCGGGAATTAAGGCTTTAAGGTCTCTTACAACTAATGTGATTCAAAAAACCGAAAGCAAGCAAACCGTAAAACTTGGAGAAAGTGCTCCAAATAGAGCCTCTTTGACAGCCCAGATTGAACCAAATGACTCAGGTGGACAATTAAAATAAACTGTGCGCCGTTTTCTTTCACTAGGTCTATAAAGCCCATAAATTATGTTCGGTCCAGAAAACCGGGAGTTACTAGCACCTTCCCTTTCCATTTTTTAAAATATTCAAAGTATTCAGCATCAATTCTTAGTCCATGGTCTTCACTCATTTATTGATTAAACAAAACCCCGGGTGCCTCTTGGTGATCACTCCTTCCAAACTGACATGCAAACTGAAATGCCTCTCCATGGAGAGGGTCGAGACCGCAAGGCAAGTCATCCAGAAGTGGACGCATCTTGCTTTTTATTTACTTTTGTATTCAAGGGGCTGCGATGGCCACGGCTGGACTACGACGAGGCGGGAGGCGAAGGGGCGCGCGGGCTGTGAGCCGCAGCCCGGGGGTGGGAACCCGCAGAGGAGTCGGGGGTCAGCAGCCACGCTCCACTAGCTCTGGCCGCTGAACCCAGAAAATGACCAGCCCCTCCCCCCACCGCACCCTTGACCCCTCCCCTCTTTCCAGGCCTTTCATCCGCCCGCCCGCCGGGCAGCCCGCGGCCCCCAGACCTCTCGCCGTCTGCCTCTTTCCACAACCCGGTCGTGCGGCGCGGTCAGGCCCGGGGCAACCCCACGAAGCCCTTGGCCCGGCGAGGATCCCGACCCCCTGCCCCTCCGGCCGCGCCCCTCCCTTTCGTATAACGCACCTGCGGCCCCGCCCCCGGCCAAACGCTGAGGCGGCGGCGGGCTGGCGAGGCCGGGCGGCTCGGCCCTCCAGGCATAGTCACCTTCCCTTCCCCCTACATTCCGCCCACCCCCCTTGCTCAGCCGCCGAGCTGCCGCCGCGCTCCTCAGCCGCCCCGAAATCTAAAGGGGTCCGTCTCCGGCACCACAACCAAATGGCTGAGCCTCCCTGGCCGGCTGCGCAGCCCGCCCATTGGTCCCTTCCCCCCCGCCTCCGCCACCATTCGCTGTTGCCCGGAGACCCTCGGCGGCGATTGGCCAAGGCTGCTGCCACTCTTCCGGGCTGCCAATCCCGCCTCCACGGTGATCAGGTTAGTGTGCGCCGCGGGTGCTGGGGGCTCGAGAACCGAGCGGAGCTGGTTGAGCCTTCAAAGTCCTAAAACGCGCGGCCGTGGGTTCGGGGTTTATTGATTGAATTCCGCCGGCGCGGGAGCCTCTGCAGAGAGAGAGCGCGAGAGATGGACATGGACAAACGGATTCATTTAGAGCTGCGGAACAGGACGCCCTCTGATGTGAGCATTTGCCAAAAATATCTCTGTCGGTCCATTCTCCTACTTTGTGTGTGTGTGTGTGTGTGTGTGTGTGTGTGTGTGTGTGTGTGTGCGCGTTGGGGGGAGGCACTTTTTTTGAGGGGGGCGCCCGGGAGATGTGGGTTTGGGGGTCGGACTGCAAATGAATTGCAAGGTTGGGGGGTTGCAGTGCCATCCGAGCATGTTCTGGCTGCCGCCGCCGCTGCCCTTGGTGTGTGACTACCTGTGCGTGTGCTCCCGCGTGTGCGAGTGTGGGTGCGAGAGTGTGCACCCATCGGGGGCCGGCGGGCGCACGCGTTTGGGTCGGAGAGAATGAGGCAAAATAACCCTCTGAGCTCGCTGCTCCCGTGACTCCGTCTGAGGGAAAGATTAACAAGAGAGGAGGAGGAGAGGGGCTGCCTCCTGGATTTAACAACAAAAAAAGGGGGTTTTATATTTTATAAATGAATCCCCCCTTCCGCCCCCCTCCCGCGCCTTCGCCCTCCCTTTCTATCTCTCGCTCGCTCGCTCGCACACACACAATAAGTTTTGGGCTTCGCGAGTCCGGTTTAGTTTCTGATAAATGTGGGCCGAGGCCCCTGGGGAGAGCGCGTGGGGAGGGGGCTGCAGTGGAGTTGGGAATGGCTCGAGTTTAAAGTGCGTCTTCATTTCTTTGCAGTGATGAGGCGAGAGACGGGGGAGCCATATTTGTAACTTTGTAGTGTTCGTGAACGCGCCCTTTCTCTCCCTCCCTCCCTTTCTCTGCCTCCCTTCCTCTCCTCCTCTTTCTCCCTCTCTCTTTCCACCCCACCTTCGGGCCAGATGCTGATGTTTCTTCCTTTCCTTCCGAAGGGAGGATAAATTGGAAGACGGGGGGAGGGATTTTCGAACGTGCAAAGGCACAGATAATCCCCGCGCCTCCCCACCTCGCGCGATCGCTACTGCAAGTTACCCAAAGGCTATGTCCCGGTCCCCCCTCGCCCCTGCTCCTTCCGGCCTCCCTAAGATGCTAGCCTTTGAGCCCTGCCCCCCCCACCGGCCCCGACCCCCGGCCCGTCTTTCTCTAGGGTGGGCTCCTTGGCAGCCATTCGGCGCCCAGTTAATAAATGGGCCCGGGAAACTTTGTCAGGACGCGAGCTGCCCAGAGCTGGTGCCTGTGGTGGGTATTGGCTGGGTCCAGATTTATGCGGGCTTAGCAGACACGCAGCTCCGGGATGGGAGTTTGCCTTCCCGTCGCCGTTATTGATTGGGCAGTAGCGGGAGTACGGCCGGAGGAAACTTACACCGATGGGAACTGGGAAGCTCGGGCAAAAGCCTACCCCCGAGGAGGGGAAAGGTGAGGGTGGGTTACTCGAACGCCCGTTTTTATTTGTCTCCCTCTCGCTTTCAAACACTGTTTTATGTGAGTTGGAGGCTCAGCGGAGGAGACCCCGGGTCTGGGGCGGAGACGCTGGCTGACTCCTCTCGTGGCCCCTCCGGGGACCAGCGGAGCGCGGGCGGGAGGACCCCTCACCCCAGCCCCGTGACCAGGGTTCCACAGAGTTGGGAGTTTGGGGTAGCACTGTGCGCTGACCTGTCGCCCCTCCAGCCCGTTAAAACCCGAATTCCTGGCGCAGGCAGGCCTTGCTTCCTCTTTTCTCTACTTCCTCCCCCAAACCTGAGTGAGACTTTTGAAAACAAGATCCTTTTTGTGCCCCCCCCCCATCATAACGCAGCTGTGGACTGTAGACGTGCAATGCCTTATGGCGCGCAGGGCGGGGAGGGGGTGGCGGAGGGAGGGGAGGGGTTGCCAACCGGAGGACGCTGGAGTTTCCGCGAACAATTTGCCGGCGGTTTGCCTTTCTCTGGCCGGTTTCATCCCAGCTTGGACCCCGAGCCAGAGGATTGGGGGGCTGGGTGTGGTGATGGGGGAGGGGGCCGGAGCCGCGGGCTTCCCGCGTACTTTCCGGAAGCCCCCCGTGCGGAGGGGGAAGGGCGCCAAGTAGGGGGCCGGGGTCGCGGAGGGAGGGTGCGGAGGCGCGGTTCGCCCGGCCAACCCTATCGCCGCTGCTGGCCAACTGGGAGCGAGATCGAAAGCGGGTCGAACCGGCTCTTTAAACTTCCCGAGTGTGTGCTGGGGGAGGGGAGCGCGCCGCGCCGAACTGGGAGCGATTTCTCACGCTTACGCCCCCTCGCCTTCGAGTCTCCCGGCCCACACGCCTGCCCCCTACCTTGAGGCGGGGTGGGGCGCGGGTGGGGGTGGAGGGGGCACTTTCTGTCCGTTTGCGGAGGAGGGGGAGAAAGCTAGCTAATGAGGGACAAAAGGGGTGAGGGAGGAGAAACTCGGTTTTTTAAACGTTCTTAAGACAAATAGCTCCCAGAGAGCGCCCCCTGCACCCCTCCCTGCCGTGCTCCCCCCAGGGCCCCCACACACCCACCTTCGGAGCCTCTCCCAACTCTGATCCGGGGGCTGGTGGCCACGCCGCGACGCCGAAATAGGACAAGCAGCCATGTTTCCCGGGTCTCGCGCGGCCCGCCCCTCCCCTCCCCCATGGCGCGGCCGGCGCCGAGCGCGGGGCTCCTAATGCGGGCGCCGGGCTCCATGCGGCGCAGGGCGCGGGCCGGCGGCCGGGCGACCCGGCGGCCGGGCCTCGCGCGCGCGGGTCGGGGCGCGGGCGCGCCGGACTGGCCCCAGGGCGGGCCTTTTGGCTTCCCGAGCTGGTTTGGAGCTCGAGGTGTTTTATTTATTATTATTGTTTTTGTAACGGCCAGACCTGCCGGAGGCCGAGCCCGAAGGGCGCCGAGGCGTTACTGGGGGGCAGAGGCGGCCGCCGGGGCCCTGCTCGCCTGTGGCACGACTGCCGGGCGCTGGGCTGCCATTTTGTCACCGTGGCTGTTGTCCCTGGGTGGGGGGGGCGCAGACTTGCGCCATCGCCCCGACGGCCCCGGACGTGGAGGCATCAGGGGGAGCGGGCTCCTGGGACCCCCAGTTGTGCTCTGGGCCCCGATGGGGGTCCCCGCCCCTTGCCAACGGCCTGAGGCTCTGCTGGAGCGTTGCGGCGGCCGTTGCTCCGGGAGGGCGACGATCCTCCCGGCGAGTGCTCCCCCCACCCCCCAGCGCGCTCCCTGCCTCCCCCGCCCCTCTTCTCGCCAGTATTTCGTCCTTCCTCCTGCAGGCGTTTTAGACGTAGTTCAATGTGGCCCTAAGGACGAACGGATCGCCGTGGTGTTTGCTCTTTCTGCGGAACTGATAGGAGGGTGGGGGGAGAAATTAAACATGAGCTTTCTTTTGGGGGGGAGGCGCACGCGACTCTAGCGGCCCTGACTGAAGCCGAGGACAGCAGCCGCTTAGCCGGGAGGGACGAGTTGATGCGTTGGGGAAACGCCCTCCGGGGCTGGGCTCTCCGGGAAGGTAGGTCGCGCTCGGTGTTTCAGGTGGGTGTTGCAGCGCCCTGCTGGCTGCTAGGGGAGGCCCCCTTGCTCTTTCTCTGCCCCTCCCTCTTTTATTTTTGCCCAGGGGAAGGCAGCCACAGTAGTAAATGTAACCCTAAACCGAAAAGATTAGGGAATAAGGCGTTGCTTTTTAAAAAGTAAATGATGTCTTTTTTTTTCTAATTGCCTTTCTCTGGCTGTTGACTGTGAGCCAGGCAAGGCATCGCGTCGCTGGCATCTCTCTGAGACTTTTTAAAAGCTGATATCCATGCTAGTTAAGCACCTCACAGGTTAAACTCTGGTAGACGTCTGCATGGAGACTAGCTTTCATGGCAGTGCCCGTCCAAGACTGCCCAGGAAGCCAGGTTTAACTTTGACCTTTGGAATACGTCACATCATGTTTTCCAGACTGACTTACTGCCTAATTGGGTTCAAGTAGGCTGATATTAACTCCAGTTTATGCAAGCCTACCAGGGATCCAGAGGCAGAAAATTGAGCATGAGTTCCGTATGGACATGGTCAGTTATGTTTTGGTACTGGATTGCTGCTGCTTATGGTAGTTTTGAGCCTGAGGGCTTCACGGGAGAGCTGGGTAGCAGAACCACACAGGCTTAAGTGTAAATTCCTCGTGTCACAGAGGTAAGATAGTTAACCTGCCCTGCTTCTGTGATCTCAGGCCGGTTAACTTAACCTACCTCTTTGATCCTTGGTTTCCTCACCTGTAAAATGGGAATAATCCTATTTAATGAGTCAGTGACAAAACTGGCTTGATCTGGCCCTCAGGTGCTCAGTATGTGATAGTGTTATTCTCAGAGAGATAGGGGTGTGTGGTGCAGCACAACTTTGGGCATTTCTAGGGTTTAGAGGACAACAATAATAATAGCTAATGCTTGTATAGCACCCATGCTGTGCCTGGTACAGTTTTAAGTGGATTACACATATCAGTTAATTTAGTCCCCACAGCAGCACTAGGAGGCAGGTACTATTATAATCCTTATATTAACACAGGAAATCAAGGCATAAAGATGTTACCACAGCCAATCTGCATACTCAACCTCTATACTCCCTCCCCTGAAGTACCCTTACTTGTAAGAGACTGTGGGGAAGAGCTTTTTCTTCCTTGGCTTTGAAATATTGCCACCTTACGAGAGAGTTAGAAGACTGGACAGCCTCCTGGTTGAAGATACTGAGGTGGGTGGTCAGGATCAGAGGCTCTCTGGCTTGTCGGTTTTAAGGGGGAGGCCATACATACACTTCCCTAGTTTGGGTTAGCACATCACATCTGGTTAGAATCTGGCCTTTTAGGTGTTGGGGGACACATTTTGAGGAATGAGAAGATAAGCAGGAGCCACTCAGGCAGTGGTGTGTGTGGGATCGTGCGTGTAATGCATTTCCCACTTTTATTATCAGACAAAAAGCTGAACAGAATTGGCATATCCTTGGTTTCCAGGACCTAGTTTACTAATAACACTTCATGGATCATCTCGCTTAATCCCCCAACAACTCCTTAAGGATAGGCCAAGCAGGGTGACATCCTCTGTTGTGAGGGTGAATCATCCAGGCTGGGAGAGTAGGTCAAACAGCTGGTAAGC